ACGAAAAACCGCACTTTGACCGCGCTTTCAAATTTTCGCGAATTTCTGAAAAATAAAAATTCGCTGGAACCTCTAAATATGATTTTTAGAATTAGGTCGCCTAAGGGTATCTTTGGGCAAAATATGAGCGATTTGCCAAATGGGTCGTTGACCGGCGTTTCTCGATCCTAACAGTCAGCCATTCTTAACAGTTGAAGAAAAGTCGCCTTGTTTTTTTTTGTGTGATCCCGAGTGAATGGTGACTCTCAGCTGTGCGTTAGTGTTCTTCTCCAAACAGTTTACGTCTGATATACATTGCACGCTGTGCAGACTGAAGAGCTGAAGGAAAGTCGCCTAGTTGATGTTGTTTGATCCCAAGTGAGTGGTAACTGTCATGTGTGCTTGAGTGTTCTTCACCAAACAGTTTACGTCTAATATCCAGCGCACGCTGTTTAGACTGAAGGGCTGAAGGAAAGTCGCCTAGTTGATGATGTGTGACACCGAGTGAATGGTAACTCTCAGCTGTGCTTGAGTGTTCTTCTTCAAACAATTTAAGCCGGATATCAAGTGCACGCTGTGTAGAATGAAGAGCAGAGGGAAAGTCGCCTAGTACATGATGTGTTTATCAGAGTGAATAGTAACTGTCAGCTGTGCTTGAGTGTTCTTCTCCAAACCGTTTGAGCCTAATATCGAGTGCATGCTGTTTAGACTGAAAAGGTGAAGAAACGTCGCCCAAAGCATGTTGTGTGATCCCGAGTGACAGGTTGCTGTCAGATGTTCTTGAGTGTTTTTCTCCAAAAGGTTTACCCCTGATATCCAGTGCACGCTGTGCAGACTGAAGAGCAGAAGAAAAATCGCCTACTTGATGCTGTGTGACGCCGAGTGTATGGTAACATCCAGCCTAGCTTGCGTGTTCTTGTCCAAAGAGTTTACGCCTGACATCCAGTGCACGTTGTGTAGACTGAAGAGCTGAAGAAAAGTCGCCTAGTTCACATTGTGTCTCCCCGAGTGAATAGTAACTCTCAGCTCTACGTGAGTGTTCTTTTCCAAACAGTTTACGCCTGATATCCAGTCCACGCTGTTTAGATTGAAGAGCTGAAGATCGGTGGCCTCGTTTATGTTGTGTGATCCCGAGTGAATGGTAACTGTCAGCTGTGCTTAAGTGTTCTTCTCCAAACAGTTTACGTCTGATATCCAGTGCACGCTGTTTAGACTGAAGCGCTAAAAAAAAATCGCCTAGCTCATGTTGTGTGATCCCCAGTGAATGGTAACTGTCAGCTGTGCTTGAGTGGTCTTCTCC